TTCTCCCGCAGGCTACCCCTACATCATCATCTTCCTGGTGCTGTACATCGTGGTGGAGTACTTCACCTTCCTCAAGTGGGTTCCCCTCCGCCACCCAAACCCCAGACGATCACCCTGACATTTCGCTCGCTCCAGTCGTGTCCTTCTCTGCAAGGTGTGAGGCTGTGGATCAAGCATCTCCTTCTCTCTCCCATCTTCTCTCTCCTCAGCCTGTTCATCGCCGTCCTGGTCGATAACTTCCAGCTGGCCATCAAGAGGCGCATGGAGAGGAAGAAGGACAAGGTGGGTGTCATCTGGGTGCTGGGGTGGGGTGGGGTGGGGTTCTGCCACTCTGAAATGTGCAGATTCTGGGGCCTGAAGGATCAGTAAGTCTTTCTAAACTCATCACCTCCTGAACGCAGGGGTACAAAACCACAGACATCCGGTCTTGTTGGACCAGCTGGTCCAGTGGTTCAGGTCCAGGAGGACAGCCGGTCCGGTGGTTCAGGTCCTGTCTTGTTGGACCAGCTGGTCCGGTGGTTCAGGTCCAGTCCTGTTGGACCGGAAGGACAGCTGGTCCGGCGGTTCAGGTCCGGTCCTGTTAGACCGGGAGGACAGCTGGTCCGGCGGTTCAGGTCCGGTCCTGTTAGACCGGGAGGACAGCTGGTCCGGCGGTTCAGGTCTGGTCTTGGACTGGGAGGACAGCTGGTCCAGTGACTCAGTCCTGAAGATGAGTTTGTTAGCATCACAAACCACCTCTCTCTCCTGTGTGTCCCTGTCCTGCCTTGCTCTGCCCGGTACTGTCCCGATTCTTACAGAACCTGCAGCTCTCCGTGTCCCCGAGCGAGGGACTGAACCCCCTTGTATTCATCTGGGATGTAAACCTGAAGTAAACGAGTTGTTATAAATTAGCACTGCAAGCCCTGACAAGAATGCCACAGCATGATATCGACCTTACAAGACAACAAGGCCGGCGGTGTCAGAACACAGCCCTCTGCAATAACCTCCTCTCCCTCTGCAGTCCTGCACCCTCGACGACTCTGAGGACGACACGGCGGCTCTGAAGAAGAAGGGTAGCCCGGAGCTTCCTCATGTCACTCATCCACAAACTCACTGTGGTACACTATGGTGAAGATACAGCAGAGCCCGGTGAGATGAGGGTAAAAGTACAAAGGCAGTGTCTTTCCCTTGAAGGTCAGCCGTCAGGGGAGCAGGACAACGAGACCTTCCTTCAGAGAGCCATTCAGCAGAACTACAGCCAGAACAAATTCAGCAAGAGGTTAGTGACCGAGGCCCGAGGACCAGAGCCAACTCAGAACACGGACTGGACTAAGTGATTCTGTACCCCAACAGTCCAGAGACCACTGTTCCAGTCTGGGTCACACTGTACCCCTACAGTCCAGAGC